AAATCGTTCACCCTTCCTGCCCTTTGGAAATGTATGCTGTATAAAATGGATGTCTTCTAAGGACCGCGCATAAACGGTGAGACCGGTTTAGGGAAACACAAAAACCTAGCTTAGTAGTTAAACGCACTGATACCTTCTCAATAAGGACTCTGCCCTATGGAGTAAGTTAATTAGTTAGTTTGTTAGGTCTTTCGGATTGTGACGTCGTATATCCTAGTCAGGTAGTTGGTTACCATCGCAACGGAGGAATGTCTCGTCTTCGTCTGTAAGTTTCGAGACCACAAGGAGTCATAAACTAGAATACTATAATTGGCATCTTCAACGCGAGAACTTCGAATGTCAAATTATTTGATCGCTGCTAAGTAAATGATGAAGGATTTGTATCGACAGTTGTATTTGTTCAGGGTCCAGTGAGGGCAGGAGAAACAGGTGCACTTGAATTAATTGGAGACCGATTCGCGTTTCACGGATTTCACGGTAAATCTGTAATGACAGCTGCAAACGTGCGTACGAGAGGAACCAACTGCTTCTGTAGCAGAAACTTATTGTTTGCAGAAGTTGGCACGAAACTCTGGCTTAGATGGTTTACCTGCTTCCTTCAGAAAGGATTCTCTTAAGTTTATTTAATTATTTGTGTGAAAATACGTTCTTATAATAGACGAGTTTCGAAGGAATAAAGAAAAATTGGAGTTAGTAACTCGTTTTATTTATTTGTGGGTTATGTGTGGCTTATTAAAATAGGCTGCCGGTAGCTTATGGAATACAGAATGATACGATAATGAACTGGAAAGTATAGGAAGAAATCGATCGTGGTATAATTTGCAACCCCGGTATATTACTTAGATTCAGCAAATTAATCTTCAGATATTGCAAAAAAGGACCACTAAAAAAATACAGTGTATTTGGCACTGGTATTTGACTCTGCCCAATGGAGTTATTGTTTAACGAAGTAGGTTCAGACATTCTGGCTAGCCCTAACGATATAGAAATGATAAGATATAATTTGGCGAAAATTACGGACAACCCATTCACAGGAGTAGAACTTATGCTTAAGGAAGCGTTGTAACTACAGAACGAAACATTTTGTGGTTTTGGGGGCGGGGAAACTGTCAGAAAGAGTGCAGATGGAGGAAATGGGATGTTACCGGAACTTCGCGATATGAAAGGAGTGAACATTGGACAGTTCGTGTAAGAGGTATCATTGCTAGTTGACGGCTGTGCTGTGTGTTTGTAAAGACCTCAGGTCGGCCGTTACACAAAAAGTTGACAGCAGAAAACAAATCATCGTGGGAATGCTTCAGAAGACACAGACCTTTGAGGTCTCACGGTCACAAGAGGAATAATTTGTTAACAAGTTTCAGGCTTTCTTTATGTGAAAGATGTATCTACACTACATCGGATTGGCTGGTACTTCGCAAAACGTTTAGTTCTTAGTTTGTTTAACGACTCTGACAACAGCCTCAGATTGCCGGATGAATTGAATAGGATATTGCAGGAAAATAAATGAAACTCGAGCATTCACCCGCTGGTACTACAAAACCCCAACAAGAGATTTCTTGTCGTGTCGACAACCCGCGATCATTTTGAAATAAAATATGAAGGACTTAAATCTGTTGTGTAATATAACCACTAAGTTTTATGAATGATGGAATAATTGATTAAAGCGGCCAAAGTTTGGGGATAACTCGTAGTGGTTCATCGAACCTGATGGCTAACCCTGACTGATTCAGTATTAGTATTTAACTATTTATAACCCTGTCTGGTTCAGTATTAGTATTTAACTATTTATAAATCATTGTGGCGTGGCTATGTGATTCGATGTTTCTACGTCATCATGGAGTTAATGCACACCATATTTGAGCTTCTGAGTACATGCTGCATTATAAATAAAATCATATTAAAACCTAGATGTAGTTTTGTCAAACTGGTCCATTGCTATTTTTTAATTTGCTATTAAATTTTGTTATGTATTCTCTGTGTATTGATATTATGCGTTGCTATTTACTTTATTTATAAAATTGCTGCCGTAAAATACCTGTCAGCATCTCCGATTTCCGGGGCCGCTCTTGTTTGGGGCGTAGGCCGTCATCGCTAGGGCGATGGGATCGTGGCTTCGAGTCGCCTTCAGGGCATGGATGTATATGTTGTGTTGTTTTGTGTATGCAGAGGCCTTGCAGCGAGCTGATCACTTGTTCACGGAGTCCTACGAAATTGATATATACTTTAAGAAACCTCCCATATATGAGATGATAAGGTATTTCAACGAGTACAGAGCCACCGAGTAAGTTAAGTGGTATATCCGATTTTCAGGACAAGAAACGAACTTCGTACAACCAAGAAATTAATCAAAGCATTCAGTATCATGGTGTAGTTACTCCGTGTCTCTGGCGTCTGATTTCAGGGTTTAATTTACAGCTGAGCTTGTAACTTACCATGAACATGATTACAAATCATCTCTTTTTACCACGTCCAAACCGACTATGGGCCTCAACCAGTCTCTCAAACAATATATACTGAAGGTTGTTTTCTTGAAGAAGAAGGCAGTAGGTACCTCTGAATGTTGGTCAGTGTCTACCGGTCTACACGGTGCTCCATTTCAGAAGACAGCAATCTTCATAGTTGTCGCTGTCAAAACCTAAAATCTTATGTACTCAAATAACGCAAACAGCAACTACACAATGTTAAAACTTAAACCACTTATCGACTTAAGTCACACCACAATACGATTTACGTAACAGAAAATAGTTGTAAAGTAATTACAAAATTAAAAGTAGAAGGTTCTGGACGAAACATATAAGCCTAATTTTTCAAAGTATAGACTTGTGGTCCTAAAAATCTTACGTTTTAATGGCATACTTGCATAGTACAGATTTAAACTTCAACAATAAAGTGTAATTTAGAACGCTAAAGTTTTGCAAAATGGTAATTTCATAAAATCACAGTCAACTCAGAATGTTTCATTTGCTTGCAATTTTATATTATGTTACAACCTGTTCTTTTTATATTTTCTTTTTGGAATAAACGTGTTACATCCACAAGCATATATATATATATATATATATATATATATATATTTGTCGCTCATAACCTCAAAGATTCGCAACGTTATCATGTTTGTAATTGTTGAATTATGAAAAACATTTAAAACTATGCTATAAATATGTTTATGGTCTATTTCCGTTATAAGATTTAAAATTCTTAGCTTCACCAGTTCATTAACTGTCACCACCAAAATGAAAAACGCTCCGTCTTGTATTCTATATTCTACGAAGAATATTACCTTACAGAAATTACAAATTTTTCGAAAATTATTTACCATGATGCACTTTTAGGCCCTACATGAGGTCAAGTTGAGGCTGATGTTGCTTCCAGCTTACAAATGTGTGTTTCCGCGGAATAAAAAAGCACATGCTTATAGTGACCTAAACTGGCCTCCATAAAAATCTGTCAATTTGATTAAAAGCTTAAAGAAGTTAAGCCTTTCCTGCAAAGGTAAACGTAGTCCAAAAATGAGAAAAACTGAAATAAAGTCTACTAATGACTAAATGACTAAGCAAGCTCACAAATCAACTGGCCTCAGGCAAGTGGGCGGACAACTTTGTGTACGATCTACAGGTGCAAGACATTATAATTCGCGCTATGTATTGTTAATTGATGTATCATCAGTGTCTGAGGTATTACGCTTGTAAATTAAAACACGGATATGAACAATTATAAATTACATACGCACTACGTTATCTGAAAATCAACTTTATAACCATAAAATTATGCGTGCAATTACAGTTGGTTTACAGTATTTAAAATAATGATGATGACTGTCTTATGGGATGTAGCTCAACACCTCATAAGACAGTCTTCAGTCTCGAAACAGTGAGAACCTAAAATATCATTAAATAATATGTATTACACAATGGTAAATATCATCACAAAAAATAAATCAAACATAAACAATAACAAAGTTAAGCTGATTCTTGTCCAGAGTTTATATTTACGCAAGATACCGCGTGCCTTGTTCTTACACGGAGCAATGCAGCAGTTTGTATGACATAAAAAATACAGTATACATAAATTTAAATAACATATGCACCTGTTAGGTAGATGAGATGCACCGAAATTATAATATAATCAGGGATTTTCCATATTGATAAAAATAAAATTAATATATAACAAATATAATAAGTCTTATAATAATTAACATAAAAATTGCATAAATACACCAACGTCGTGGCCGATTTGTTAGCATTCCATTATTGGGTAAATTCCGTTGATTGGTAATCAGATATGTGTATCAATATTAAGAATATTAACAATATTAATTATAGTTTATAAGTCTTGCGACTGAAAATGACTAATGAATATCTTAGTAAACATTCAATAACAAAGTTCAGGTGTGTCTATTGTTGATGTTACAATTTGTCTGAAAATATAAAACGTGTCCTTAAAGTAGCAGACGATTTGAAGGTCGTGTAATTATTCATTTGTAGCAGATACGTTAACTATATTACAAAACAAGCACACAACATTCAAGATTTTCCACTTGTAGCCACGGGAGAGCATGGATACGATTTTAGTCAAGTTTCTCAAATCGTCTGATAATTTTTGAACAACCTGTGTCTATATTCAACTAGAAAAAGCGATCTTTCTTAGCAAGATTTTTTGGCGGCTGTGCCAGCTTACGACCTTTCCACTATGCACAATATTGCATTGATTGCCACCTTTCTTAACAGGCCAGCGGCCAGCTGCGACGATTTTGAGGTATTTGTATAAAACCACAGGAAGCTCCAAGCCCCCTAAAAACCCTGGTTCATACTTTAACGCAGGAGTGGCCAACCCAAATGATCTTTCGGGCCACTTTGGAAATGCATCATAACTCCGCGGTTTCGACAGATAATTTTTGAATATATGGATGCACAAATAATGTATTTTTTTAATACATTGGTTTTCACTACTTTGGCCATTATAAAATAAATATATTTTGTAAAAGTGTGATGAATCTCGCGGGCCGGAAAAATGTTCAAGGCGGGCCACATGCGGCCCGCGGGCCGCGGGTTGGCCACCCCTGCTTTAACGTATATTCTACCCAAAGAGAATACTGAACAGCATTTAACCATTTCCCCTTATTACTGTTGAGAACTCATTAGGGTTAGTTTTCACTGGCTGTCACTGATGACTGAACAGGACTGCAGTTAACGCAGAGATTTCGCATAGCGGAAAAACAGTGCCTGGGCACAGTCTCCAAAAAGTCATTCAGATCATTCCCGTTTATTTACTATTATTTACCGCTAGCGGCTCTGCACTGTGATAATTTTTGTTAAAAATACAGTTGCCAAGTAGCGGGCATATGTCGTACGTTTTGAAAGAAACAACTTGAAATTGTAGCTGCCAGAAATTATATTGTCACTGAGATAATTCATAACAGTATAAAATGAAACAAGTGGCCAGTACTGTTGAATTACCGTCAAAATTCTCACAGGTCTTTGCAATTTCAGGTTTCGTTGTCGTTATAAATGTCACTCACAAGCCTTGACACATCACACCGATAAAAGCCACCGTTGCAGCCGTTACCTTCGTTTCCACGGCGATACGCCGTCCGATACGCCGAAATCATCCCCTGCTCCCTCGCTGGGGCTGACCGCTGCATTTGCCCCAGCAACCTGGAAAATACACCAGTAGTACAAAAGGTAATGCGGTAGCAGCGTGAAACTGACCACTGTATATAGCACCTCCCTTAGAAGTTTTGTGCACAATACTTATCTTCCCTATCTGGAAGTTTTTATCTTTGAGGATTTCAATACCAATTCCTACTTGAACAAAACTATACTAACCTACACGAAAGATGGCGGCTGAGCTTTGGACGCTTCTGCGCATGTACTGTCACGTGCCTGCGCCAGCCAATCAGATTCAGTCACTTGCTGTACGTTCGCTCTGATAGTTGGTGTATGAAGTATTTAGTTACTTATCTGTCTGTCTCTGCGCGACACCCGCCGTCTTTCCTGTAGGTCACTTCAGATTCAGGTTCTCATCCGACGTCATAGACCCCCAAACTTACCATAATATTGGTTCTTTATATTCTGACGCTGAGTTCAGTTTTCCCAGTTCGCATGCCAGCCTTCCAACGCACGCCTCGGAACCCATGAAAGTCTTCAGTGCTTTCGATATTCTTTCTTCGACGTTTCTAGTAGAGTTTCGATTCCGTGACGCCTCACAGTCCGGAGAGTTGCACTCCTCGGAATTTTGACTGTTGTGTGAAATGACGGGTATCGGGATAAACATGGCAAGAAGAGGTAATAAGAAAGGGAGAAGCAGTGGAAGACCCAACACAATGAGACCAACGGGTAAAGCTATGAGCTTAAACAGTATGATGGGAAGTTTAGTGATGAATCCAGCACCCACTGCAGTAATGGCGGCTTTCAAGAAACCAAGCAGACTCATCTTTGCAACTGCAATCTGAAGTATGTGATCAATGAAACTCCTTCCCCACGTACACAGCTCCCCGGTGTGGCTCTGCTGATATTTTGGCACTGAGGAGAAAGTTTCAGAAATAAGCGTAATGTCCTGTAACTTATGAATGTCATTGTTACAACTGTAATTATTTTGTTGGGTTCTGCATACTGTCTAAGGCAAGGGTTACCAACATGTTTTTCGGTGCCAGGAAACTAGGAGAAGGCTAAAATTTATAGTAGGCAGAGTGTTAATCCCACCAAAAATTTCGATTGAAAATAATTTTGTTACAAAAATATCTGTACTTAACTCTCTTACATCAAGGTATTTTTCATACCAGTGTTTTGGCACATGCCATCTCAGAAAAACAAGCCTGCCTGAGGAATGGGTAATAAGTAATTTTGTTTAAAAAATGTCATCGTTATTTACTCCAGATTCTTCATCACCAAGGCAACTCATCGCCCTGAACATAGACACAACAAGCACCTCTGAAACGTCGACAAACTTCTACCAGACTACAACCCAGAAGACAATCATCTTAGAAGTCCCATAATTCGTAATATTTACCAAATATTACGAAGCACTTTTTGGGAATCCATTATTTATCTGGTGAATATATTTCGTGTTCATAAGTTACAGTAAGGTACATTACCGTGTAAACAAAAGCTATCTATTTGACATAAATTTTTATCACTTCATTCACGCGTTAAATCAACTGAAGCATGTTTCTTCATTCTCACGAGTCTTGTGCTGTATATTGATACCTATCCTTCAACAATTGTATTATTGCTTTTACCTAACAATGGCGTACACGATTTTCCTTTATACGTTTTTCCAAGAAAGCCTTAAAAATCACACTTAACACTCAATAGGTAAGACATGGGTCCAGTTTACAGATCGCATGATGTCTCCCAGTGAGAGATGACAATAAGGGCAACGTTTTCATTGAACTCGCACTTCGTTTCGTCCCGTGAGCAAAGGATTTAGCCCCGAACAATCCAGTGTGAAGGGACTTGGACACAATATCGAATGAACTTGCAAGTTTTACCAAACGAATGGTAGGCGAGTATTTTCTATGAGAGGCGGGGTGGAGAGTAGATCTTCGAAACGTCATAAATTCGTAGCCGAAGGCTATTTATCACATGCGTCGAAGGAAACAAAAGACAGTCTGAGTCTGTCTGAAAATGTAAATGCATAATTGCCTCTGTACTTAAGCACAGCATCATGAAGCCTTGCCGGGGGTCAGTAGTCTAGTTGGAGGTGAGGCTTCTTGTAAAACGTATTTTCCCGGAGAAGCAAGGAAATTGTTTTCAGAAAGAAAATTGTAATGAGGTTTGGAATGTCTGTGAATTCACATTCAACTAGCACAAGCAACATACACGTCGCTGGATGATTAGTTTCGTACAAATGATAAAAAGAACTTTGGATGAGCAGTTGTGGAAGTCAGAAGTCACAATAAAAATAGTCTTTTTGTATTCGTGTGTTGAATAGCCATCTGCCTTGAAGAAATTATGCTTTATCATTGATGAAATTATTCATTACCAGGGACAGAACTTGAATAATGTTTTGTGATTTACCAGATGGAACTACGACTAACTTCAAAGGTTGTTACGAAACTTACGTGGTTACAGTTAAAAATGACGCCAGGCCCCTGAATTTAACACAAACATTAGTTTCTTAAGGTGCAGAGACCAAATGAATAAAGTTTATAAAATAATATTGCACAGAAAATAAAAATACAATATTGCACTGTTGTGAGTAATCACAACGAAGAAACTTCTACGGCTAATTAATTTAGCTTACTTTTAAATAAGATACAACAAACTCCGTAAATGGTAGTAAACTAATTGAGGATACTGGCCAGATATTTGCCTTCATGAACCGAGGAAAACCAGAGCCAGCCTCTAAGCTGAGATATGAACTCGTGACCACCTAAATACAAAGCAGGCCTGCTACGTTCGGTTATATTTTATATTATCTTAATTAGCTGGTTTCAAAATGTCTACGAAAATTAATATATGTTAGCACTTCTCATAAAAGTTCTTCCTATTTCAGAAATCATAGGCTATAAGAAATAAATTTACTCACGAATTAATGTAAATAAATGCAGACTTCTTCTACACGCTTTTGTGGGCTTTGCAAAACCTCTTCAAGGTAAGGATCTACGCCTCAATTTATGAAATCAACCGAACAATTAGAGAATTGTGCGTGTTTTGTTTCTGATACTGAATGTAACAACAACAGCTGTATTGAACCATAACGAGCTGCCCTGCGCATGCGTAATGTGTTCCAGATAATAGTAATTGGTCCGATTGGGACACAAATATCACATAAACCGACTCGAAAGTTCTATATAAATATGTCAAAAGTTTCACAGAGGTCTCTCAAATCGGCAAGTGGTGTTATTATAACAGAATTGTAGAATATTACAAAACTTTCAAAACTATTCTCATATTTATAACCTTAAAAATGTTTCTGAAAGCTGTTTACTGTCAGCCTACCCAACCCAAAAAAAAAAAAATTATATCAGACAGATGACTCGTTTTATAATCCTAATATCAACTGTTTGCTTAATGATGTAGTCTCGTCTCAACCAAATAGTGACGATGAGCATAAATATAAGCTTTGCTTTCAGATCGCAGTTAAATAACTGTTTCGCCACTTTTCTTTTGCAAATGTTGCATGTGCCAAAATGCCTTCTATTATAATACACTTTGGTCTTACTGTCATCGTTGTTTCTTTGAACTGTTACTTGTGACTGCATTCTGCTGCTGCTTTATGGGCTTCTGAAAGTACTAATTCAGTTTACTTCCATTTATTCTAAAATCGTGAAACTATTCGTTGCCGCGTTATTTTCTGTCAGAGACGTCTTCCACCTGTCAAGAAAATTGTTACTAAAATATTGTTCCATTTTAACGGTTGGTTATAATGAGAAAACTCCGGTTTCCAACAGTTGCTGCACTGAGAAATTTTCAAATTTATTGCAATTTTAACAAAAATCTTAGTTTTTTAAAAACTTAAGAAATTCCATAAATTGCCAACTATTTCGTCCATAACTACATGAAAATACCTGACCTTGATATATATAAGACAGCTACATGAACGGGTGAACAGGTTTACGTATATACGATGTCATAACGGGTCATAAAATTTGCAACATTTACCAATTTTTAAGGGACAGAAGTTTCCGGATCAAAGTATATTTGCATTTTTTTTTAATTGTTCATGTCTTCAAATTTATGAAAGGCGACAATGAATCACTCTGTATACCAGCGTATGCGCAAGAAGTAACTAAGCCCTCAGCAGGATAAAGGTGTAGAAGTTTCAGTAGTCTACTGATTAAAACTAACCGTCATAATGGTGATAATGCATCATCGGCGTATAGTACGAGGAGCTGCTGATGTCCGCGGCTGAACCGTGGCTGTCGTAATATGAATTGGCGTAGTAAGGAAATCCAGTGTTACGTCCGGTAGATACGTCACTCAACGTGAGATTCTGTCGTGTTAGTACTCCAGATACTATGTGCGATGAGATGATGACAAATACCAGCGGCAACATTTCACGGAATGTTCCTGAAAAAACACAGCATGGCTGGATAATAACCACGGTCTTCATACGATGATACTCAGTTATTCCCCTATAAAACAAAATCTCTGTTCTTCTGGGTTTTGGCGCCGTGTAGACTCCTCGGTAGATTCAAGCATTTCGGAGAAACATATTGCCTCTTTCTTCAGGGCTAAAATGGCGATGCTGGAAGAGGAGGAACTCATATATGAATAGAAAGAAGAGAATGGTAAAACCCTTCACTTCCCAGCAATTCTATTTCAGTGCTGAAGATGGAGACAACATGTTTCTCCGAAAGATTGTTTTTCTGACCTGACACCAAAAACTCAGAAAAACGTCATTTATGTCTAGTTCACTATATCGAGATGTTCGATTAAGCACATTTTAAAGCATCCCTATTGAGAGTCTACATTTACAAATTTTTGAGTAATTTCATTAAAGAATTATACGTATTAAACTACAAATTCTCTGGAGCAGAAAACTTCTTAAGTAAATAAAATACATTTCTGTTATGGGACCAGAAGGTCTATTATTGCCATCACAAGAGCCCGCCACTGGCCCCTATCCTAAACAAAACAAATGCAGTCGACAACTTTAAAAATTACTTCCTTAAGACCAATTTTAATATTATCTTCGATTTACAACAACTGTAAACAAACTAAAATAATATATCTAGTAAGGTAAATAGTTGCATTACAGTACGTGAAGGAAATTTTTTAATATGAACGGTATCGTTACATCCTTACTTGGATCAACAGTTTTACGTTTAAAATCCACTGTTTTAACACTCAGATATCAACAATCAATAAAGACGACCAGCAAATGCCCACCGCGAGTTAACACAAACTGTACTTCTAAAATGCCACACACATTGGGTACAACCCCGTCTTTATATACACCGACATGTTTACAAACGTAACTTGGGTGGAGATGAAAGCAGGGGGAGATGTCAGCAAAGTGGCTGTCGTCAGACAGGAGAAAACAAGGTACGATACATAAATGCTGTCATGTGTCAGGTGTTAAATTATGGAAAGTTTTCAAATGCCTAACAGACCCACCGATTATAAACCTTCAGTAAAACTGGTGAAAAATCTCTTTAAGAACAAAACAGTGAGCTTACAAAACTAAAAGCCAGGCGAATTGTTATAAAGACAAACATTTAACTTTATTTATCAGTTTTTGATGCAATAAGTCAAGTTCCAAACATGCCAAAGAACAGAAACAGGTTCAGGCAATGTTCAATGTCTGAAGTGCATTTGACATAAACGACGTTTCGGGATCTATTTCCATCAAAGGTGAAACTAAACCATGGTGGCGCCTACGGTGGTGTCTGGTGGGATCCACCGTTGGCGCCAGCCACGGGGTCGGTTTTGTGTTTGAACGTATGGCTTTAGCAGCCGTGAAGATGTGTTCACATTTAATTTCGTCATAAATAAATAAAAAAATTCTCTGCTTTCCATGCAATTTGAAAATATAATGCTGAATAAAATGTGTTTTTGTTAAACGCAATAAAGGTTCATATCATGCAATAATAACAGTAATTCACAATTTTGGCAAATGTTATTTTTAAGATGGTAAAGTTGCGTCATATTGTGATATAATAAGTATATATTAAATCTTGTCCGTGTAATCACAATAAATTCTTATTAAATATTAAAATATTACAATAATTAACATTTAAAATATTTAAAATATTAAATGATGTTCTTTATCAGATTTTTATTCCATTTTTAATAACACACTCGATGTTGTTCTGTATATATACATCATGCTCAATGTGAAAAAGAACATCATTTGATATCTGGTAAAAATCTGATAAAAATGTACGCTAGTATAATGTATGAAAATTGTATTTGAATTATTTATTGTTATTTTATTTTCAAGGTCAGTATGACATTCCATAGAAATTCTAAAAGATACGTCAGCGGAATATGTTATTTGGGTATTACGTGACAACAGGCGTGCTGGGCTTTGTGTTAAAGAGAAGAAAACATTTAGGGCAGTGTTTCCTTGTTTGGGGCGCGACAGGATATCTGCGCTGATCTGTAAACATGACAGGTAGGTCATTTTCATTCTTCTTAGCAAGGCTTAAACTTCTCTATGTCATGCTACAGTGTACATGGGGGTTTCAGGGTTAATGCTAGCTTATTTAACATTCCTCTCAAGCAGGAAGCGGACAGACACTTGCACTGGTTCCCATTTGGGCTGCAGAGACGACGTTGAAACTGAGGGTTATGAAAAGGTTTAGTTGTGAATTTGCATATTTAAGAGAGAGTGACATTCTGTTTGTACGTTGCAGGCACTTAGTCACTAGATTCCGCTGTAGTTGTTGGTACACCTGTTACGTATTGGGGAAGCCCCGGTTCTTTGCAATAAAAAGGCCAACAGTTTACATGCGTGGTCTGTAGAAATGTTTCTCGTTCCTACGCAAAATGTTGGTGCAACACCCTTGTCATGATTAAAAATTTAATGTGAGTTAATATTAGTTCTTTGCCTGTTGAAAATTAACGCGTTTCTGCGTTACTCAAACAGATTTACATGAAGAATAAACCACACGCCGCGAACATAAGCGATGGATAATACCAACATCTCTTTCCAACTGCATATTGTATCAAAATGATTAATTTTTGTTGCCAAGGCACAAGGTAACCTTGAACTTACTGATTTACGACGACGTTAAGCGACCAGACTATACAAAGTTCATCTGTCCGACGGACAGCAATTTTTTGTTATACTAAGTTAATCACATAATTGCGGAACTTCACTATAAATGCTTTTGAGAAACGAAGTGTACGAAAAGCAATATTTCACTGTTTCATTTTTTGTTCATTTTACCTAAATTTCTGTTACTGGTAGACTAGCCAAGTAATTACATAAATGTCATTGCTTGTCACAGTGGAATGAATAAAAAATACGCAAATAAGCTTAGGCATAGCTTAATAATTCTGGCGTGTTCCCTATAATTTGAACTTTGACCTTTTCAATAGGCACCAGTGACTAATTCTCTGGAGGCAAAGGCTGTCTCGTGGACGGGATGTCTCTGCGTATTCTCCATGTGGGGATTATTCACCCTATTACTTTCGCGTGTAAAAATAAACATGAAATTTCATGTAAAGTGTCTGTTATTACTGTCCGATCTTAACCAAATTTAGAATATGCGGACAAATTTAAGTATATATACGAAACAATAAACTTCATAAAACTTCGTTCAGCGGTTCAATAGCTGAATCATGTTTTAATTTACAATAATCAACACATTAATACACACCCAAACAATAAACAAATGTTTGACACATGTTTATGTCATATAAGACTCTGCGTCTAGATTATGCATTTTATGTACAGCCTGAAGAAGGCTCTTGAAGCCGAAACATGTAGTAAATTAAAACTGAATTTTACATTAAACTTGGTAACATCGTTGTGCGTGAGAGTAATACCTGATGTCTATAAATCGGTGAAAAATTTTAAGGGTGTTATTTATAAAATATATGACAAATATGTACGCATTTCTGTGATCACATATGAAAAAAAAGTTGTGTGACATTTATAATATATAACCTTTTAATATTTGTTATAAATAAATAATTAAGCAGCCTTCAAAATGTACGCTACTTTCTGGACACCCTATATAATTGTTATTTTTCTCTTTTATTTTCAAATAGGTACCCACAACAGGATGCATGAGTATTAGTATAGTATTGTTTTATTTTAATGCACAGAACAGTGCCCAAGAGGAAACAGAAATCCAACAAGATCCTTACGTTTAGTTTGCGATCAGACATACCACTTCCTTCTCAAACCTGAGACATTATTTATACCTTACCCAATTACTTACTTCTGCTACTCCATTGTTATACCGAGTAATATTCGTTCCACCTCGAAACTAATTAATATCTTGTTTAAACATGATAAATTACCATAAAAATGGTTTCATTTATCTTCTTAGAATCTCAGACACGACCTCTTTATTTACAAAGAATCTATTCACGGCTCAGAGACTTCCATCAGAAGAAGGGTGTAAAAATTCATCTTTAAATTATCACGAGAACTAATTGGTTACTTAAAAGCCTATATACGGCCAAACCTTGCGCAGAAACCGTCATGACTGAAACATAACCTCCACCAATCCGTGACCTCAACGTGACAGCGACGATACATACAGTTCGCCCGAAATAAGGGTAAGAATAAGTGACCTTGCAATGACCTTGAAAATTTATATATCATTTTATGACAAACACTTAGGCCGATTTTATCCTCACATCTACACGACCTAGACTTAAATTAAAGCCATTTTCATGTCAAATATTTTAAATGCATTCACACTATAGGCAAGTAACAAATGACGACTAATTTTTATGACGAATTAAAAAAAGGCATGAAACCTTCCGCTAATATGACATTTTTATTAGCGTCGTGGTCAGAGCAGCTACCATGGCCGTAGCGTTCAGACTCAAGACACATTTGAATATCGTCATTTCTACGCCATCAGTTGTCATGACGAGCCAACATAACCTTACAAAAACAGCCGGACGCGATCTCGTGACACCTTATCCCCGCCTGCTTGTGATGTAGTAAGCCCGAGCTCGGCCGGAAAAATGTATAACTGTTGTCAGTTCTTCATTTGAACTACAAAGCTCGAAGTGTGCACATACAAGCTAGTAGCGGCCAGAGTGCATATTAAAAGACGAGATATCGAAAAAATCGTCAGGCAGATTCGCTTGAAAATCAGAGCAACTGGCAATGGTCCTTGCCTTGAAACGTATAAATCAGCATCCTCTAACTTCATTTCATAATATTAAATTTAATATTATATTCCTTCTACGCTTAGGTTACAAGTGGTATCTTCTCTAAAGCTATTAAACCAAAATATATACATTTATTCTGCCTCTCATGCGTGTCACATGCCGCGGCCATCAAATCCGTTGATTTGGTCATCCAAATATTTATAAATAATACAGATTATAAAGTTCGTCATTATGAAACTGTATATATTTTTAGTAGGACAGCGAGCGATAATGGAACTTGTCTGAAACCTAAACCGGATTAAATGTAAACCACAGATTCTCGTATTTTTAACCCGGTCCTGGGAATACAGACCGAAAACCTATGTAAATACACGTGCTTCATTTTAACATATATTCCTTTATTTTCGTTTTCTTCCTGGAATTTATGTGAGAAAAAACATCCCTGTCACAAGTCTGAAATAACGGAGTCTGGCCATCATGTATAAAATATGAGCAAAATACTTTGATGAGTTACCGGAACAAAGAAAAAACTATAAACACATTCACGACTCAGTTGGTGTTCACTGCGCATGCGCAAAACGAATGTCTGACTTGTGTTTTGTTCCATGACTGCACGGAGAATGAAATGTGCAATATTTATTTTATTCAGAAGTACTCATATGTTTTGTATGGGTTTGAAAATTTGTCTTTAATACTAATGAATGAGAAGAGGGTACTGAGGAAAATATATAGGATGTTTGGCCGGGTAGCCTGGTAACTGACGTTTCAGAGATAGTTGAAGTCTACATAATCAGATAAGCAATATGATAATGGAGGCAGTAAGTGTCTCTAAAACGTCGACCGATTTCTACCAAATAACACGATTCAACTTCCCAGAAGATAGCCAGCTTCAGGTGACAGGGATATGGAGAGAATATTGCAAAAATGTTATAAAACCACATACGTTTTAAGGCAATTTACAGAAGACAGAATTAATGTAGATCTCTGAATATCGTATCGATCTCTCGAGCTAAATGGCGTCTCTTTTAGTTGTAGCCGGGGCCGAAACACTTCGTCTTGAAGGGTGCAGGTTTGGCATTTATGACATCAATAATCAGTTCAC